TTCACTCTCGCCGGCCTAAATTCGAGGTCCTCCAAGAATATTTCAGTCTAAGGCAGGACCTTTATCCTTCTTATCTCTTTCGTAGGCCCGGACTATATCGGGAGCTGTCTCTAGAAGGTCTGTTCGCGTGAACCAGCGGTCGTCTTCTGGCTCTTGAAAGGCAAATCTGACTTTGTACTGTTTCTGTGGACGACCTCTACCTCCTGTCCTGAAGATGTCCTCACCTACTATACCATCAATGTCATATCTTCCATCCATATCTGGAGGAATCATAGATCTGCGTGATGGAAACTGCTGACGTATGATGCAGGGCAACAGCTTTGACGCATGGAACACTGGGTAGGTGTGGAGGTGTGCTGGAATCTCAATAGTGTAGGATGGTCCATCCTCTCCGCCCTTGACTTCTAAGACTGGCCACGGTCCTCTATACGCAGGCAGTAACTTTTGTGAGATGTTCTCCTCAGGGGCGAACTCCTTTGACTTGACCCAGACTAAGTCGCCTACTTGAAACTACGAGGGGCGACGGTGCTTGTTAGCTTGCTCTATCATTCTGTGTTGGGCTTTCCTGAGGTTATCTACAACGGTAGCTATCTCTTTGGTTCGAACCCTACAACCCCATTTTGTTTTTTTCAAATCGCATATTTTTTGGTATTAAAAAAAAAAAAAAAAACCTGCAAAAAAAACAAACAAAAAGTCTGAAAAAGCTGGGTTAGGCCGACGCCCGGTCCAGACGGACTGGGGGGGGTCCGTCCGGCAAAACCAGACAAGCCAAAAAACATCCCAGGAATTTTTTATTTTTCTTTTGAAGATGGGGTTGGACTGCGCTCGCTGAGAGGAACCCAAATACGCAGAGAAACTTGTGAAAGGCATGCGTGTGGGGGCAGGAANTTTTTTTCCGTCATCCCCATACACTACCGGCAGGTCTCCCTACTCATGCTCCTCCTCCTCGTCCTCTCTTCTTCTTCTTCTCCTCTCCTCCTCCTCCACCTCCTCCTCCTTTCGTTTTGTCCTTCTCTCCTCCTCTCGTCTTCTTCTTCTTCTCTCCTCCTCCTCCATCTGTTTTCGCCTCCTTCCTCCCCTCCTCCTTCTCCCCCTCCTCCTCTCGTCTTCTTCTTCTTCTCTCCTCCTCCTCCTCCTCCATCTGTTTTTGCCTCCTTCCTCCCCTCCTCCTCTCCCTCCTCTCGTCTTCTTCTTCTTCGTCGTCACCTCCTCCTCCTTCTCCTTTCATCTTCTGCTTCTTCCTCCTTTCTTGATCTTCTTCTTCCTCCTCCTCCTCTTCCTCCTCCTTGTTCGTGGGGGCAGGGGGGGGGAGTTTGAGGGGAGGGGGGGGGGGGGGGTTGAGAAGGGGGTAAAAGGGTGTGTTGCAGCAGCCAGTCCGCTGAGGGGAGGGGTTAGAGGAGGAGGAGGAGGAAGAAGAAGAAGAAGACGCCACTTCCTTTGTCTGCTCTCGTCCTTCCAGACCCACCACTCACCCCGCCGACGCCGCTGCCACTGCCCGCCGTAATGTCGTGGAAGTAGAGGATGCAAGGACCAACAACTAGGAAAAAAAGAAAGTAAAAATATCGGAAGAAGAAGAAGAGGCAAAAGAAGAAGAAGAAGAAGGAGAAGATGAATTTGAAGGACATGAAGAAGGAGAAGGAGAAGGAGGAGAAGAAGAAGAAGAAGAAGAAGAAGAAGAAGAAGAAGAAGCCTGTGCGGTTGTGAATGGAGCTGCTGTCTGCCCGCTTACGTCTTTTTTGGGGGGCAGGAAAAACAAAAAAAAAAACGAACAAGAGATAGCAGGCAGTAGGATATGGCGGGTGGTGCAATATGGCTGGCGGATGTGCGAGATGGTGGCCGGTAAGATATGGCGGAGAAGGAGGACGACGAGGAGGGAAGAAGAAGGCAAAAGGAGAAGGAGGGCGACCAGGAGGGAAGAAGAAGACGAAAGGAGGAGGAGGAAGACGAAGAGGAGGAGGGAAAGGAGGAGGAGGAGAGAAAAATAAGGAGGAAGAGCAGGGAGGAGGAGGAGGTGACGAGGAAGAAGAAGAAGAAGACGACAGGAGGTGGAGGAGGAGGGGAGGAAGGAGGAGAGGAAAGGAAGAGGAGAAAACAGATGGAGGAGGAGGAGGAGAGAAGAGGAAGAAGATGAGATGTGGTATACTGCGCATCCACACGGGCCTGCAAGGCCCGACCAAACAAGAAAAGTAAGGGCCCTACAGGCCCTGTGTCGTTTTCAGCCTGAAAGCCTGAAAACAAGGGCTTACAGGCCTGTGTCGTTTTCAGCCTAAAAGCCTGAAAACAAGGGTTTACAGGCCCTGTGTCGTTTTCAGCCTAAAAGCCTGAAAACAAGGGCTTACAGTCCCTGTGTCGTTTTCAGCCTAAAAGCCTGAAAACAAGGGCTTATAGGCCCTGTGTCGTTTCAGCCTGAAAGCCTGAAAACGAAGGCCTTCTAGGCCCTGAGTCTTTTCAGCCTGAAATGGAGGGCCATTTTCGGGCCCTCATAAAGTTGACCTGCTCTGAAACTTAGGCACCAGACCAGGGTTTTTAGCACAGGCCATTTTTGGCCTGTTTTCAAGACAACCTTTGTTTGAACTTCAACACCAGGGTCTGGGAGAGAAGGTTAACAACAGTTGTATTTTTCATCACCACTTCAGGACACCCTTCACCACTTCAGGATACACCCTGCCTAAACACGTGGTTTTCAAGGTCTTCGGACCTTTCACCGCTTCAGGACCATTCAAGATTTTGGACACGATTTTGATTATTGTTAATCATCAGCAGTTGATATTCATCTGGGGCTTGCATTGTCGACAAGTGTCTTCACGATCTGGGTTCATTGCACTTTTTTTTTAGATTTTTGTTTTTTTAATGTTTTTTAATGGTCCGGACATTTCCGGACCTGCTTACCGGTCCAGACTGTCCGGAACCAGGCATGTCCGAAAGTCTGGACGTCCAGACCTGACTGGACATGCGTCCTGTCCCCAGACATGAGCTGTCCGGGTCTGGGTCCGGGTCCGGTGTAGCTATGGTTTTGTCTAAATTGCTGTTCGTTGCTCTTATCACCACCTGGCAGTATTGCCCCCTCAACGCCCTCCTGTGAACTTGTATTTGAACATCCTGCCGCGGTATAAATAGAATGCTATGGGCCTTGCATTTGACGAACTTCCACAAAACAAACAAAAACTTGAAAAAAGCAATATGTGCACCACACCCAAGGGAAAACTGAAATCCCGCACGGCCTCCCAAACACTTGAAACATGCCGCCATGATAAGAGAGACACACAAGCAACATTCGAGGAGTGGGCCCAAAAAATAGACTCGAGCCGGCCCCAGACGATGTTTGACCCGGCGATATCCACATCTACGAACGGGCCCTAGCCCTATGGAACACCTGCAGCAACCGCTCGGCACACGGAACTTTGGGAGAACTTTTGTGCTGGGCCCATTGGGAGGCAGTCTTCCTGGGCCAGGCTTTCAATTCGAGTGTTATGTAGACAAGTCAAAGGCGCGCCTTGGCAATGCCACGACAGGGCGAATGTGGACAGTGAAGGGAGAGGCTGGCGAGGTTGCGGTGAAAAGTGTAGACAACGACGCACAGAGTTACAAGGAAGACGTTGTTCACATCACAGCCTTTTTTTCTGTCTGCAGAATGACGGCATAAAATCACCATCATGAACCACACCATCAAGAAACGTGAAGCAACCTGTGATGTTATCAACATCATGGTGTCTTTCTCCATGTACAGTACAACGTATTGGGAAGGAGGGAAGGGAAGCCAAAATAGGGGTGGGTAGGAAATATAGAATAGGTGGTTTTGTATAAGGGTGAGGGCGGATAAGCAAAAGTGCTGGGGCTAGTTTTTGGTTTAGCTAATGCTTGACAGAACAGGATTTCGGATGCAAATACGAAGGGATCTAGACAGGTAAGGTAGACGGGATTAGCAAAATAAAGGGGGCTGACAAACAGGCTAGGATGGAACAGGGGGAACAGGGGGACTGTGAGAGCTAAGGAGATTGAAATACTCGAGGAAAGGAAACTATGAAGGGATATACAAATTTGGGACAGGTGCAGCCTTTGGGAATGCTAGGGGCGTCCACCCCCATGGCGGACAATTCATTGGGGCCCTCCTGCTGGGCCTCTGGGTACTGCCAGTAAGTTTCCCAGCCAGCAGGAAGGCTCTTAAAGAAGAGCCAGGTTTGGGGGCAGGGGTGCCCCTTAGCAGCTCCACCCTTGAGATGGTGGCTAGTACCGCAAGGGTCAGGCCCATCTTTTCTCGCTGCTGGCCTCACATGTAATCTGTGCCTTGCTTGCCAGTGATGAGCAACCGCACTGACGCCCCCCAGAATAGATGGGGCTTGTGAGGGTTTGAATAAAAAGAAGGGACAATTTTGTTTATGTCACATTTGGGTTCCTAATGCGTGGAAAAAACATGCTCCTGCAAAGAAAGCAGCTGCCAAGTTAAAAAATGCGATGAAAGTACTGAGGCAGTGGTGTCAGGCCAGGTGTCATAACTACAGGGTTCAGCTGTGGTGTCCTAAGGGGGAAAAGAAAAAGGCACAACGGGTCCTTTTCTACCGGAATTCCATTTCCAAACTCGGCAGGTGTTCTCTTTGCGGGCGCATGTTTATTTCCCATTTGCGAGCTCAAAACGTGCCGCATCCATACTTGTTTGAAAAAAGAAAGAAAGAAAGAAAGAAACTACTAATCACAGCCTATCTATATTTTGATTTTGATTTTCGTCTTGATTTTCACTTTCATTTTCTTTTTGTTTGTTTCTTATTTTCTTTTAACCCACACACACAGGAGCCTCCCCTTCATTTTATTTTCATAACTATGAGAACGTCGTGAGACAGTTCATTGGTGGAGATTTCACAGCGGCCTGTGCAGTCATCGTCATTTTAATTTTCATTGTCATTTTTCAGTGGTGGCATGATTCATTAGCGTAAGAATAAGACTGTATGTATAGCAAACTTCAACCTTCACAGCAGTTGACCGACAGAAATTCGCAGTTAACTTACCTTAGCTTGGCCTTGGCGATCTTCAAATTTAGTGACATCCACTCGGCAGCCGAACCGCCCATTCTCAACATCATCAGATTCTGTCCCTTCCACCAAGATATTGCTTGCCAGCAAGCCTACCTGTTCTCCATTGTTGCAACAAACACACAAGTGAAGGGAAGTGAGGTTCAGTGGGAAACATCTGAGAGAATGAGCTAAGGGAAGAAGCCAAGTCCATTGCTGCAGTGAGACCTGAACTTTAAATGAAGGGAAGGGATGGTAGCTAGCAAATGAGGAATGACGAAGTTGAGTCCATTGCAGTAAAGTCAGAAGTAAAGGGATGCTGGTGATACATGCTACATCTTCTTGCCCTTCTTCTGTTTACCCAGATTTCACAAACCCCTTTCTTTATTTTGCCAACCCAAAACGACTAAAGGTCCCCCCCCCCCAGCTGGACCAAAATTGAGGTTTGAATTCTCCTGCTCCTGCGTCAGACTTTCCGACCTGTTCCCACCACATCACCTGGCACTCGTGGACCAGCAGTGGCTCTGAGACGAATAGCAAACACAAGAGTCAGTACAAGCAGAGCTACTGCAGAAGGAGATGACCAATACAGCTGGAGACGCTTCTTCCCATCAGGCGGCCGGTAAATAGGCTGAAGAGGCTGTCATTGGTGGACTGTTATAAGAATAGGTGGCGTTTGGGACACAATGTCCATTCTTATACATTCCTATGCATTCCTATCTGGGTAAGACAGAGAGACAAAGATCTGACTTTGGGTTGCTGTCTACAAGGTTGTAGGCAGCTTAGTAGAGGGATACAGACATGTGGTTAAGGGAGGGCCGAAAATTCGCCGTTTTCGCCGACAGTTTCGATGTGCGAGGAACGAGCCCTCACGGACCCCTTATAAGACAAACACATGTTCTGGGCAGAGGCCCCCAGCAAGCCGAGTGCCCGCCCTAAGTGAAGGAGGGCCTGAATATTCATCAGAGACCAAAACTCAACATTTTCATATACGGGTACTCAGGCTGTTGCAGCCCGCCAGTTGGTTGAGTGGACGTGCGAGCCTCCCTAAGCTGCGTCGTACAGTTGGCCCAGGCCTTGGCAGTTGCGCCTGGGCACATACACAAAGCAGGGCCGATACATCATGAAGTGGCCACAGGCCTATGCAAAAGCAGTACTGTCGACGTACCTACCCCGGCCGGGGTCTTGAGCAAATGCAGCAAACGGCCCAAGTCTGGTGTTACATGCCCAGTTGGGCGATGTATCCAACGATCCGCAATGTGATAAAAAGGACTGAATGGACAATGCAGTGCAAGTGGAATCTCAACAAGCAGTGCGCATCCTGATACATACAAAAATGGTGCTTTGTAGCGCAGTGGAAGACTTAGATATAAGTCCTGACCTGACCGGGACTGACCTCTATCACGTAGTCCAAGACAGCGCAGCAGAATGCTAGAATACCAATGACTAGCCCAATCAATATCGCAACGCAGACCAAACATACATCATCCTCATCACACAGTGTGAAGGGGCCCGGAGCTACACAGGAAGAATGCGCCAGGTCCAGATCATGCACAGACGAAGAGGAGGGAATCAGACGAAGAAGAGGGGGGGGGAGATAAGAATGTTGTCAACACCAAGTCTTCGTTACAAGTCCCATAATAATCCCTCGTCAAAATGTCTGAAGCCCAATGTCGAGTCTGGATCCAAATGTCACCAATCCCGCTCTCTCTTAGTCTGCTGATGCAGTGAAGTCAGGTAGCGAGAGGGTGAGAGGGAGATGGTGGACTGAGAAGAGGAAGACGAAGAGCTCTCTCTCTCTCTCCCATGTGCCAGGTACTAACCTGTGAAGATGGCGCTGTGCTGCAGGTACCTCGAAGACGAAGCTGGAGCTATGGCGCTGCAGGTAAGTCTCCCTGGCCTCTGCCCAATCTCTCTCTCTCTCCAGTACTACTCTAGCTCCTACTAGCGTCCAGCGTTGAAGACTACTGCTAACGCTACTACTACAACTGCAGCGCTCCTCCAGAGTGCTGCTGCCGAATCCTGAAGACTACCTCCTGCCTCCTGAACTGCACGTGAAGTGCCTGGGAAGTCCCTATGAACTACCTGCAGCCTGCAGGGCGGGCCAGTCCTRTATRGTGCTGGCCCGTCCAGGARGCTGCTCTTGCCAATGCCAAAACRTGCCAGACCCTRGCGTTGAAACTCAAACAAAGGTTGTCTTGAAAACAGGCCCAAAATGGCCTGTGCTAAAACCCTGGTCTGGTGCCTGAGTTTCAGGGCAGGTCGATCTTATGAGGGCCTGAAAATGCCCCTCCGTTTCAGGCTGAAAAGACTCAGGGCCTGGAGGGCGCTGTTTTCAGCTGAAACGACATAGGGCCTGTAGGCCCTTGTTTTCAGGCTTTCAGGCTGAAACGACACAGGGCTTGTAGGCCCTTGTTTTCAGGCTTTCAGGCTGAAAACGTCACGGGCCTGAAAATGGCCCGTGCAGCCTGTTGCAGGCGCAGCATGTAACACCCCCCCCTCCTTATGAAGTCAAGCCGGGTCGAGGGTGAAGCTGACGATCTGAAGGTGGAACCTGGACACGGGTGCGACGTGGAGCCGAAGATACCGGCTTGCCTTGCATCTTGTGTTCGTAGCGTGCGAGAACATTTGGAGCTGTTGCTTGGAGTTCCGCACGGGTCAACCAACGGCCGGCTTTGTGGGTGCAGTACGCAAAGTGTACCAAGTATTCGGTCGACCTGTTGCCGTAGCGTCGCTAGGAGATGTTGTCGCCGACCTCTTGAAAACCGTCCATTGAGGGTGGGTCTTGCGATCGTTGCCCGGGAAAATTATCATCGTCTGCTGGCGTGTAAAGAGCCAACTTGGAGCAATGAAAGACTAGGTAGACGGGCAAGTGGGCGGGCACCTGAATGATGAAGGAAGGTCCTTCGGGTGCATCCCTAGCGGGTGCCACGATCGGCCAAGGCCCCATCCATTTCGGGAGGAGCTTGCGAGAGATATCTTGTTCGACGCTGAACTCCGCGGCGGAAACCCAAACAAGATCGTTGGCGCGGAATGGACAAGGAAGACGCTGGCGATTGGCCTGTTGGCTCATGTGTTGCTGCGTCTTAGCTATCTGGTCGCGTGCCTTGACAAGTAACTCTTGCATCCGACGCAAGAAAAGAAGATGGTCGTCGCTCTCGGCCGTTTGTGGAATGATTGTGTCCAACGGAGAAGTGACCGACGAACCATGCTCGAATTCGAAGGGCGACATCCCAATAGCCGGGTGGATGGACGAGTTGTATGTCAACTCGACATCCGGCAGCCGCTCAATCCAATCGTTTTAGTCGGGACGGATGAGAGTGCGAAGGAGAACCTGTACGGTCTGATGCACCTTCTCCGTTTGGCCATCGGTTTGGAGGTGGCGAGCCGAACTTGGCTTGAGAGATGAGTCCCATCGTTTGATGAGCACCAACCAAAAATCGGACATGAACCGAGTGTCGCGGTCGCAGACAATTTCCTTGGGGTAACCCTTGGTTTGAATCCAACCGGGGTAAAAAACTTCGGCCAACTCTGGTGCCTTGGCATGATAACGGCAAGGCAAAAACATGGCGAACTTGGTGAGTTGGTCGACCACCGTGAGAATCCCATCCACACCGGKTTTGTGCTTGGGAAAYGGCCCGSTAATGTCYATGGCAATCGCTTCCCTTCGGCGCAAGGGGACCGGTAATGGTCGCAACTTGCCGTACAGACGATGGTTGCGGGATTTGCAGCGCCGACAAACCTCACATGACTTGCAATAGCGTGTGACGCCGCTGAGAAGGCCAGGCCACCAAAAGCGCTCGCAAAGTCGGCCAATTGTTCGATTGAATCCAAAATGTCCGGTGGCGGGAGCATCGTGGAACTCGCCAAGAAGCCGTGTACGCAAGTGAGAGTCACTCAGTATTCAAAGAAGGTCCTTCCCCCGCGTGTGGACAAGCAAGTACCCCTCTTGGATCCGGTAGTGAGAAGGCGCCGGATTAGGAGAAGAGCAATTCGCGTACTTGTCACAAAACTCGGGGTCGGCTTGGTAGCCGCGGATGAAACTGTCCCGCAGTTCGTCGTCGATCTCCAAGGTCGAATAGACTGCGGTACAATGATCCGGACGCCGTGAAAGAGSATCCACAAAACGGTTAGACTTCCCCGAAATGTGATTGGGAAAGAAGTCGAATTGGTCGATGAAGGCCATCCAACGGGCGATGGTGCTATTGTCGGTGTTTTGGACCTTGTAGAAGACCAACGGATTGTTGTCCGTTACCCATCGGAATTGACTTCGACCAAGGAGGAAATGCCGCCATCGTTTGAGCGCGTGGACGAAGGCTAGGAGCTCCTTCTTGCCTGCATCATCAATGGAGAGCACGACGGGCACTTTCTTGCTGAAGTACTCGACCGGGTGCCAGTCCACAACATCGTGTTGCTCGAGGACGACACCAATGCCATAGCCGGACGCATCCATAGTAACGCGCGTTGGCAATAGCGGGTCGTATACGCGCAAGACCTCCGCAGATAATAGTGCGGCTTCGAGAGCCAAAAATGATTCGCGCGCATCCTCTTCGAAGTCAAACGGCCGATCCTCGCATTGAAGCTTGGTCCAGTGGGCCGCGATCTTCGAGTATCCCTTGATAAAACGTTGGTAGTAGCCGGCAAGGCCGAGGAACGAACGGACATCCGTGACGTTCGGCGGCTCCGACCACTCTTGGATGGCTTGAATCTTGTCCGACAACGGACTGATGCCCTCCGGTGTGACAAAATGGCCCAAGTATTCCACCTCTTACCGGACAAATTCGCAATTGTCGCGGTTGGCTTTGTACTTGGTGCGGCGGAGCGTCTCCAACACTCGTCGAAGGTGCTCAAGATGATCCTCCAATGTCCGGCTATAGACGAGAATGTCGTCTAAGTAGACCAGCACGAACCGGTCCAACATTGCACGAAAATCGTTGGTCATTGCCGCTTGAAAGGTCGTCGGGGCATTAGTGAGGCAAAAAGGCATGACCACCCACTCAAAATGCCCGTACCGCGTTTTGAACGGAGATTTGTAGCAATTGTTCGCCGGATCGAAATCTGATGATATCCCGACTTTAAATCCAACTTAGAAAAATACTTCGCGCCACCCAAGAAGA